TAGAGAAAAAATAAAAGAGAAATGGAGATGGACTTTCAAGCGTTATCTAGGATTTGGTTTCACATCAAAGATTTATTTGACATAATTTGAACAGACTCCAAAAACTGGTTTAGAAACCTTGATAGTCATTCAAAATGGTGGTTTCACTTGATGTAATAATGTAAAATGTGCCATTATGGGTATCTCTGTGTGAAGAAGTATAGTGGTGGTTTCTCTATGGAAGGATGTTGGCAGCTACTCATGGCTCAACATTGCAGTGGTAAAGTGCTGAAACTGGGCAGGTTTTGGACACAGCTGACAGGGTTCATGATCCACTGATTTTCTTTTTCTTTCTTTTTCTTTGTTTCTTTATCCTTTTCCCAGTTAAAACAGATCTTTAGGATATGTTTGGATTTTTTTAGAAAGATTTGATGAAATAAAAGAGAGTAAGGTTTGAGTGTTCCATATTAGATCAAGCTTTTAACCAAAATTTCTCTAAAATTTGATGAAAAAAAGAGACTAGGGTTGGAGATGCTCTTAGTATAGTGATCCTGCTCTTATTTGTATCTCAGTTATGTTGCATCAAATCTAGGCAGCAATTGCAAATAACACTTCCTTTTATTCTTTTTTAAATGGAAGAGGATACCATTCTGGGTATCTCTGTGTGAAGAAGTATAGTGGTGGTTTCTCCATGGAAGGATGTTGGCAGCTACTCATGGCTCAACATTGCAGTGGTAAAGTGCTGAAACTGGGCAGGTTTTGGACACAGCTGACAGGGTTCATGATCCACTGATTTTCTTTTTCTTTCTTTTTCTTTGTTTCTTTATCCTTTTCCCTTTTTTGGGTGAATACCTACAGTTAGTATTTTATTCTGCTTTATGATGGAAAATCAGTCATGACATAGTCAGGCTTTCACTTCCATTCCACATTGTTTTTATTTTATTCCCAAGTTATTTTCCTGGAAAGATTTGTACATACCATTGAGAGTATACCCATTTTCAAATTTGATCAAACCATTTCATCAAATCTAAATCAAATCAAGGGATTTGTAAAAAAAATTCACCAAATATTCAACAGTCATATTTTTAATGAAATTTCAAAAAGAGTAATTATTGAATATGCGTTTCTTTCATTAAAAATAGTTAAAACAGATCTTTAGGATATGTTTGGATTTTTTTAGAAAGATTTGATGAAATAAAAGAGAGTAAGGTTTGAGTGTTCCATATTAGATCAAGCTTTTAACCAAAATTTCTCTAAAATTTGATGAAAAAAAGAGACTAGGGTTGGAGATGCTCTTAGTGTAGTGATCCTGCTCTTATTTGTATCTCAGTTATGTTGCATCAAATCTAGGCAGCAATTGCAAATAACACTTCCTTTTATTCTTTTTTAAATGGAAGAGGATACTATTCATAACTGATTGCATCAAATACTAAATTACACAAATACTAAATTCAAATACATGATTGCAATCACCAAATACTAAATCTAGGCAGCAATTGCATATAACACTTCCTTTTATTTGTTTTATTCTTTTTCAAATACTAAATTCACCAAATACATGATTGCATCAAATTCTCCAAATAGAAGAACTGATATTTGAAATTGTGTATCCAGGAACCTTTCGTAAACATTCCAGAGGATACTATTCGTGAAGCACTAAAAGTTATTCTTGGTATCATAAGTTCTTAATACTTTACACTTTATTTCTACTAGTGTAGAATGTAACTGATTGTCTTTGCTTATTTTCTCTCTTTGCCTGCAATGCAGATGAAAAGAATCACCCCCTTTTGATCCATTGCAAGCGAGGAAAGGTATGTGTTGTACTCTGGTTTTTCTGCGACTCAATAACTGATTTTTAAGTATCAAAAAGAACTATAATTTGCAGAAAACAGAATTCAGAAGAAAATCAGAGTTTCACAACTCTGCCATGGAACTTCTGATTCAAAGAAAAAGAAAAAAGTGATTTCCAAATAAAATATGTAGAATGTAACTGATTGTCTTTGCTTATTTTCTCTCTTTGCCTGCAATGCAGATGAAAAGAATCACCCCTTTTGATCCATTGCAAGCGAGGAAAGGTATGTGTTGTACTCTGGTTTTTCTGCGACTCAATAATTGATTTTTAAGTATCAAAAATAACTATAATTTGCAAAAAACAGAATTCAGAAGAAAATTAGAGTTTCACAACTCTGCCATGGAACTTCTGATTCAAAGAAAAAGAAAAAAGTGATTTCCAAATAAAATACATCAGATTACACCCCTTTTTTCCTCTTCTTTTATAAACTTCATAACCTAATATACCTTCCTGACAAACTCTTCTTAAAGATTTAATCTCTATTTAACTGGTTATAGTTTCCTTCTCTTCGGCTTCACTTCCATTTGTATCTTATAAATTTTGTGTGTTTGAAATAAAGATACTTGCCACCATAGAAATATTCATAAACTTAATTTTCTTGCTGAGGAAACGGGAAGAATGAAATACTGTTATTATTTTTGAGAAAAGGTTGTATGTGGTGCTACGGTTTTGGGGTTTCTATGTGACAACATTAGATGCATACCTTTTTCCTTTAATGTCTAATTTGGTACCTTTCTTTTCTTTTTTTTCCTTTTTAATTGGATTTCACCAGAATAGATAGAGCCTGATTGCAAATGGTATGCTGGTAGAAATAGTTGGTCAAAAAAATGAGGTTCAAAAAAAAATGTAAAAATAATGGTTAAATCAATTTATGATTGCATTTGGATTCGTGGATTTCAAATCAAGGGAAATGGTGTTGAACATTTAAATGTTTTGTATCCAATTTAGATATATAATATTAAGTTATAGATTTTAATAATGATTTAAAAGCTTCATATGAATGGTTTTGAACTAATACTTCAATAATAGTTATTTGGATTTCTCCCCAACAAAGATTTTAGTAGCACAAGGATCCTTATGGGATATAGGATATAGATTTGTCTATCTTGACCTCAAATCCCCTAATTTCAAATTCATCCATCCAAATTCAACATAAGGTTTTAAAATTTTTATCATGTAATGCTTATGAAGCCTTCAAAGTTTCCACTTACGTTAGACATTAAGTCTCAAGCAATCAAGCTACAGTTAATGAGAGTTTCTTATGTTGGTGGCCGTTTTAAAGCAATGTTCTGGCCTACAATATCAATAATAACCTTGGAAACCCCCTTCCAGAGGGTTTACAGTATTGCCAAAATTGCTTATATGCCATGCAAAAATAGTTGGAAGGGAAATGCAGCTGAGTACGTTTTCTATAACTTTTTTATTCTTTCATTTTCAATGATTTGTTCTGGCTTCAATATGTGGAATTATCACTTCCTTTTTCCGATGGGATGAATCATCTGGATAAATACTCTCACATGCAAATACTTCAATTGTTGATAATTTAAGTTATAATTTTAGTTTGGCCCTCAAAATTTATATATCTGGGTTTATACACTCTGGTTAGCCTCCATCACTGTGTCGCCTCCATTAGCTTGCTGTGTTTTTTATTTTGAAAAAATTTGAAAGAGGATAACTCCAAAAAAAAAAAAAAAAAAAAATTTTCAGCTATCAAACTGAGGGTTTGGAAATCTGCACAGATAGGGTGCTTCTTTTGGGAATTTAATTGTAGTAGAGCTGAGGTTTAAAGAGTAATGAGATTTGTTGTGGTGCTTATGTTATTATATGAACCAGAAGCACGCAGATTTAAAGATGCCTTTCTTCTGTATTTGTAACTGTTTTTTCTTGCTTTGTTAATTGCAATGTAGTTTTGTTGTTTCTTATTTGTGGCAGACATTCGATTTGAGTTTTTGTTTATGATAGGCATGCTGTAAAAGAGATGGAAGAAAGTCCCTCATCAACAGCTTAGGGTGGGAAAATAACTGGAATCAAGTTTGGTTTGGATTTGTGTGTGTTTGGATTTGTTAAAATAATCAATTGGTTTTGAATTGGACATGGGGGGTTTGCTTTTGGTTTGAAAATGTTGGAAGATTTGGCATTTGTTTTCAAAATTCTCACCAAAGGTCTTTACTATATTTAACAAGGCCATGATTTTTGCTGTGGATTGATTTTTAAGTTTTATTTTTTTTTGGTTAGTTTGGTATGAGCTAAAAGCCTCTTTTGGTACCCCACAGGGCATGGATGTTTGGGAATTTTGGTTTTAGGGATGTTTGGGTTTGTGTTTTCTAAACCTTAATCCATATATTCAATGGAATCACAGTTGATATATACCTCAATTTGGTTTGTTTCTAAGATTTGGGGTTCTATTTGTTTTCTAAGATTTGTTTTTTTAAACATTCAAATTGGAAAAGAGAGTAGAGAATGAGAAAGAGAGAGAATGGGTGTTGATTTCCTATGAGGGGAGAGAATGAGAAAGATGGACCTTTGTGGAGAGATTAGAGAGAGAAAGTGGGAAAGATGGAGAGGGACAATGAGTGGGAGACAGTGTAAAGAGGTTAGGGGGTCACTCAGCATAACACCACACAAAAAAAAGTGGGTTAAATTTTTTTTTTTTTCAATCCACTCTTTTTGAAAAATGTTTGTAGAAAAAGTTGATTTTTTTTATTTTTTTGTGGATAAATTACTCAAAGTTTAAATTTAGTTCTGTTAAAAAAGATGGTGAATTTAAATTTGTATGAAAATTGAGTTTAAATTAAATTTATGAGTTATGTTTATGTAGAAAATGTTTTTTGTTTGTTTGTTTGTTTGTTTTTTTTTTTTTTTTGTGTAGATAAATTTAAACTCCAAATTTAAATTAGGTTTAGATTGGGTTATGTTAAAAAAACGATTATAAAAGTGAATTTTGAGAAAGAGAGGATAAATAATGAGAGTTGTGTGATTTGTGAAAAAACTAAAAAGAAGAGTTTTTTATTAATAGAATTTTGACTTCAAATCCTTATAATAAATTATATTTTTCAATTTTTATTTTAATTTTATTGGGGTGTATTTATGTTTGAGTACTTTTACAAAATTCATTTCAAACTCAATAAATTTGATAAATTACATTTTAAATCAGTACTTTTAAATTTAATTATATTTTAATCTTATAATTAATTTAGAAATGGATATACACTAGGTGACACATTATTTTTATGAGTAATACATTTTTAAACCTCCAAACCAACCATGGGGACTTACCTGGTTCGAATCTATTGGGAAATCACAATACTGTATTTATTATTATTTTTATTTTTAGAATCTTAATTTATTTAGCTTTTGTTGTTTGTTGAACAAACTACAAAATTTAAATTCTGAAACAACATAATAATTATTTATTTGGTAGTATTCTATATATCAATGGGTATGAACAACAGAATAATTATTTGTTTGTCGGCAGTGGGAGTATTTCAGTGCTTCTCTGTGAGCTGCTTCACTGGAGTTTTGGGTTATTTCGTTGTTATTTTATTCGGGTTTTATAAAGTGTATGATACATGTAAAATTGTTACAATTTTTTAAAAAGAATACTATTTCTTTATATTTTTTTAATATTTTTGTCAAAAAATATTACAGACTTCATAAATTTTAAAATGATGCGTATAAATTACAATTGTATTTTGATCACAACATTATTTACACAGTGCCTTTAGGCACAGGCATACGCTAGTGCATCTACATTGTCAATAAGTGATAGAATTATCAAATATCCATATTTTGCTGATTTACATCCATATGCAAGTAATTGGAGGGTCAAAGCAAAGTTGGTCAGGTTGTTATCTGTGACTAATCGTCCTGGGGGAAATATGACATTCAGAATGATTTTTGTTGATGGGCAGGTATTTACAACTCTTATCATGAGATAATTGTTAAATATTTTGTTTTATATTTGTTGGCTACATATTTTGTGCAAGCCAGTGACAATTCGACGCGTGGCAAAGTAAGGGTAATATGGGGAGACCAGTCAAGTCTTCGATCCTGATTATACACGTGGCAGTTAATATTGGTTGTTATAAGATCTGAGTAACAGCGGATCAACAAAGAGATGCAAGGTGACGTGGCTTCAACGGTTACTCATATTCAAATTCAAATATAGAAGGGAAGCCTAACTGCAAGTGAAGGCGTAGTGGAACTACTTATAAGGTAGCATGATCAGCGATCACGGAGGAGCAGTTCGACGGTTTGAAGTACAGTTCGATGGTTATCTTTGAAGAGTATAAATAGCAGGAAGGACTTCAGAGAAGAGGGGGGCGAAAAAACATAAAAAGAAAACTAGTCTTACTTTACATATTCCAGTTTTATTTCCTGTTCTTTCCATTTCTGTACTTTAAATTCCTGCACTGCACTTCATTTGTAGGAGTAGTTTTCGAGTATATTGCCGCTATAAATCTCTACGAGGCTAAGATCATTGTAAGTTTTTTCATATTAATATTAATGAAATGCTTCAATTTATTTACTGTTCTTTGCTTAAATTCTCCTAAATCAAGCTACCAGTAAGCCACCAGTAAAAGTCTCTTCATTGAGGCTAAAAGAACATAACACAATCGTCTGAATAATTGGTTGGCAATTACAATCTGTAAGGACTGATTGATCCTTGCTGGCACGCTCATAATTACAAAAATACCTTCGAAAGCCAAAAAGCCAACATATATTTTTGGCACGCCTAGTGGGACCATTTAAAATGGCTCTAGACGTATGGAACAATGAGAAAATGAACGTTTGGAAGAAAGACGTGAAGGAGAGGTGGAGATACCTAATCCAGAGGATAATGTGATAACACTCCTGTGGAGACTCCTATCTTATCGGAACCCATGGTCGAACAGACCAGTACTTTTCAGAGCAAATACCATTGTTCGTATAGGTGGACGAAACCAAGGAATTTGGACCATCCAATGTGCCAGTTCTACTCAGCCAGTAAATCCGTGGGTGGCTTATAGGTAGTCCCATGGGACACACATTAATAAACACAATGGAAAGATGGCGCATCTTTTTTGGATCCGAATGAATAACCACCGAACAAAAATGTGTAAGACATATGGGGAATAATATGTCCCTTCAGGCATAAGATTGGCTAGAGATTAAACAGTCTAGTATGCAAGTTAATGGCACATTCGTAATAGTCAAACCAGTAATCAGATTCATGCAAAGATTACCACCTCCAGTTTTGGTACGAACCATTTTGAGGCCTGTAGCAGGCCAGAATGCCTCAATATTCAACAGTGAAAGCATGCCAAATTGGGTATCTGGCCCGTACAGCAAGAAATCGGCATAAGATGTTTTCCAAACCCCACATTTCGAAGCCATAACTGCACTTGGGGTACAATAACCTTTTTTGAATTTTATAACAACGGGGGGTTGGTAAGGTTTTCCTACAAATGGGAAGGGATACAATTACCTGTTTCCAGCCCTTTCGTGGGTCCCTTCGAGGACAGCTAAAAGAGTTACACTACACCCTCAACAGCAACCTGTACCACAGGACAGCCAGTCTCCAAAGTATTACACAACCTATGGACCAAGAGGATCCACAAGCACAAAGTTTATCCGACCAAACTGTGTTTGTCCCCTAAGGTAGTGGTCATAGGCACGAAATTATGAGTCCGCTAGGCACCAAAGATTACTGATATAGTTTAGGGAGTTGTGTGACCAATGGCTCGGGGGGTCCCAAACTCGCTGTGTACACGAAAACCATTACCCAGAATGGGGTGACAGGGTACAATGAATATCCAAGAGTTTCCAGGATACCAATTTTCGTCCTCTTTTCAATGGAACGGAAACCCAATCAACACTAGAGCATATGCTAGGTTTGGCTGCTCAATTGTGGTCGACTTTACTTAATCATGACTATATGAGTTTGAAGACATTCCCAAAATTCCTCTAACTGGGGGAGCATTTGTTATGGTACATTAACCTTCCACTGGCTCCCAATCCAGACTTGGCAGCAAATGGGAAAGGCATTTTCATGCCCAATTCCTTTCATCAGAGCCCCAGAAGTTTCCATGGCAGATGGCAAGATTTGAGTCAAAGGCCTGAGAGAGAAGGCTTACTCAGTTTATTTCCAGATTTAAGAGAGCTCGAAATATTAGTGTAGAGTAATGGCTTGGCCAGAAACCAGATTCGTAAAATTGGCCCAAAATGGCTTTAGCAGTTCAGGCTTCGATAAGAAGTGTTGATTTCCACAGAGTTTCAGGGATTTAGTGAACTAACTTAACAAAGTATCTAGATATGAAGCATACTACAAGAGGACAAGTCGAAATAATGCATCAATAGGAATACACAAAGATCCTAATTTGAGATTGAATGCAGCAGAGGTTGTGGGAAAGAACCTATTGATCTTGTAGCATTTTAATTCGATAAGATATGACAATTGACCAGCAGTTTTAAAACAGGAAAGATCTCCACAGAAGTATTTCTTCTCGTATTTAACCCTAGAGGCAGATGATATTTTTGATATTTGAACTTTGCGGCCAAACTATCCTTAAGTTACCCAAAAGCGGGGTTAAAATTCATTTCTTTTGATAGAAATTAAAGGAAAAGTATATGTAAATGGCATAATCTAGTCTTCACTCGACAATAACTGAGTTGTTTTTCGAGATCAGGATCCGAAGAAACAAATTTGGAAAAGGGAGTTTGAATTCTCCAGCCAAAGCTGAAAAATAGCCATGGGGATGATAGCATCCATTTCCAGAAATTGGAGAGGTGGCCGTCCATGTCATTAATGTCAGGACCTTTCAGAACCTGTTCTTTGAAAAAAAGATTGGAAGAAGTCAATGTTAAGATGCATGTGGCCAAACCCAAGAAACAAAAATCAAAAAAGAACACTTAAGAATTCTACCAGCTATTTGGAACCGAGATTTTCTCTTCACCGACAGAGGGAAGAATGCTGATGGGGAAAAAAGCACTGGATGAATGACTCCTTAGAGGCAAGCTGTAATGCCAAAAGATGTTGTGTCCCAGGTGCAGATGAGTTATAAGTGGTTGAAAGGCCTTCCAGTTGATGGGAAGCATATTACAGGATGTGGCAGAGGCGTTCCAAACCAACCAAATGCTATAAATAAGAAGGCCGTAGTCCGGCTAATGTTATCGGCAACCATTAGTAGTTTAGCCTGGCAGTGATAGAATGCATTTGCTAAAGGCATAGAAGACTTATTATGAGAACCAGTCCCTAACTATTACAGAATGGCAGAGTAGTCATTCTGAAGAAGATTGAGAAAGAGTTTCAGATTTTAGGATCCAAGCCAGAAATTGGCCCCTGGGACTAGCTTCATCGAAGAAAAAAATGATGCACCATTCATCGAAAGCCTGAATCAGGCTCCAAAGCTTTGGAGACGAGGCCAAACATATGTCCTCACAGCCAGACATCGAAAGGTGACCTTTCC